CTTTTGCATCTTTCCTTGCCTGTGTCTGGACTTGCTTCTGTGGGTTTAGTTGCCTTGTTGACATCACTACTCACTACCAGGTTCTCGGCTCTTGCAGGGGGACGCTCTGCAGCACCCCCACCTCTGAACACCTGGTGGCTGTGCCTGCACCTGTCAAAAGAGGACGTCCACGGCAACCACACACACAGACCGACTGGGAGAAAGTAAAAAGCGGCAGCTCCTTCCTTGCACCCAGCCCCCTCTTCTGCAAGTTGAGTGCTTGTGTTAGTCGCGATGCTCCAAATTCCTCACCTGGATCCACCCTACAGCCTCGCCCTGGGTGAGCTGGTTACACTGGACTCTAATAAGGGCTTAAGGGGGCTCCTTTAAAGGCGGTAACTGATAATCCAGCCTGAAACTTCACTTATCCAGAGCCATAGATCAAGTTGGGAGTGCAGAGTTGTCGTCTTACTTCCTAAGGCTGGATTTAAAAATCTCTTTGCCGTCCCTACTGGAAGGGTGAATGAATGACCCAAAGGACACGTTTCACACACAGGCTATGTGGGGGCAACACGGCTGGTTTATTCACCCGGGTGCGAGTGGGCTGAGTCCAAAAAGAGAGTCAGCACAGAAGGGGGTTTAGCGAGGTTTTTATAACCAGGGACAGCTGACCCCCTCCCACCTGCCCTGTTCAGTTCTTTGTTTCTGGGCCAAACTGGCAGATGAAAAATTGCTTCCTGCAGCAGAGGACGGGGGTAGGGGGGGCGCAGAACAGCTGTTTGTAGTAAATTCTTCTACCGACCAACTCCTATGACCCCTTTGCCCCGGTCGCATCCATCCTGCTCTGGCGGTGTCCTTATCAGGAGAGCTAGGGAGGGACAGCCTTGGTCTCCATCAGGGAGGGAGGGGGAGGAGTGCTGGCTGCAGCTGCCAGTCGGACCTAGTAGGGAGAGATAAACTTCGTCTCCATCAGGGAGGGAGGGAAGGGACTCTGGCTGCAGCTGTCAGATCTACAAAGTCGGGGACTCCCCAGACTCTTGCGGCTGTTGTTTTACAAGCCTAAGTTTTGCATTAACCACATTCTGTCCTACATATACTTTTCGGGTTCCCACCTGGAACAAACCTAACACTCACCATTCCTCTAAGGAGTAGATAAGGATAGAGAGAAGGAGGTTGAAGGGACATCCCCTGGGGGCATTAAAATGGCCTTACAAATCCAAAAGCCACCCTCCTTTGTGGGGCCTGGTCTCTCCCTGGGAGGACTCTGATTCTTAAAGGTTGTGTTGGGTTTTGCAGTTAAGGCCGGATCAGGAAGCAGACTCAGCCTGTGACTTGTCCAGGCTGTGCATCTGGTAGAGCCAGTGTCCCTAGACCCCACCAGGCTGCGGTGCCCTGGTGGCCTAGCACGCCCTGCTGGCCCCCGCCCCTGAGGTGGTGACTCTGCTGGCCCTTCACAGACTCCCTGTGACTTTGGGACAGGCTGGTGGGGCAAGGCTGCCACGCCTCCGCTCCTGGACAGGGCAGTGCCTACCCTGGGCTGCTGCTGCCCTTCAGGGCACACCCAGGAGGGGCCACGGCCACTGGAGCTAGCTGTGCTGCTGGTCTGGGTGTCCTGGTCTCAGCCAGCACTCTGCTGGTGTCCCCCAGACCTGACAGGTGGCATGGGGCAGGACCACATTCTCCCCTCTCTTGACATTCCTGTAAGGGGATCCCAGCATGGGCTGCTTGCAGTCCAGGGAGCCATCCCTCCGGGTCCTGACGACACCCTCTCCCACCAGGACCAGGAGTGCAGCCTGTGGCCGCCCTCTGACAGCTCGGCTTTGTGATGGGGTCCAGGCAGTCCCGCCTGGCGCCCCCTTCTCCCAAGAGAAGCTCTCTCTTGTGGGGCCCCTGCCCTAGTGGGGGACCCTGGATGAACTGGGCAGTGGGGTGGCTGGGCAGGTTGGGCTTTGTGATAAACACAAAATACTCAGGACCAGAGCCAAGTGCCCCAAGCACTGCCTGGAGCTCAGATGTCAACCTGGAGACTGAATGCCAAAGAAGCCAGCCCTGTAAGGGGTGCGGGCACTGCAGGAGGGGCACCCCAAGAAGGACAGAGCTGGGGGCGCCTGGCACAGAAGGAAGGACAGCCTGCGTGGAGAGGGTGGGGAAAGAAAGAGTCAGAGAACTGGGCCGGGGAGCCTGCGGCCTTGCAAGTTAGCAATGACGACCACAGCCCCGCGCGGCGGCCCAGGCTCCCTCCAAGAGCTTTCAGGGGAGCTGGGAGGAGAGAGGAAGGTGGCTGGGACGGTGAGCACCGAGGCGCCTGCCATACCGTTATTATTAACCCTCCAAGGGCCCTGGGAAGCGGCACTTTGAGCCTCACAGATGAGGAAACTGAGGCACAGAGGGGGCGGGGTGCTGGCGCGGGCCGAGGTGGTCTCTCCATGGCCGGTGCCTGAGCGCCCAGCGCGGGGCCGAGAAGTGTCCACCGCCCTCTGCCGCAGCGGTCACTCGGTCCGGTCCGCACAGGCTCCGACCGATGGGCCTTCCTCCGCCACGCTCCGAGTGGCCTGCAGCGGGGCCGAGTGACCCGCCTCGCGTGCGCGGCCCTGGACACCGTCCGAGGTGCTGGGCGCTCGGGAGACCCGGGGAGCAACAGCGCGCGCGCGGAGGGACGGGCCGGGTCGGGGAGCGGGGACGCGTCCCGGGGGTGCGGCCCGCAGGGCGCGGTCTGGTGGGTTCGGCATGCCGCGTCCAGTGCGTGCGCGGGGGCCTGCGGGCCGGGGGGCGGGGCCGGCCTGCGCGTGCGTGGGTCCCGCGCGCCGGGTCCCGCAGGGCGGGGTGCAGGGTCCCGCGGGCCGGGTGCGCGGCGCCTGCGTCCTGATGCGCCGGTGTCCGGCCGCCGCCCTCCCGCCTCTTCCTGGCCGCTCCAAGTTTCCGTTTCCCCTCCGGGGCCGGGTCCCGCGCAAAGCACTCCCAGGACGCCGGCGACAGCCCCGCCGTGCAGGGCGCCCCGGATCGGCCCCAGCGCGGGCAGAGGAGCTCCCGGCGGGGGTGCCCGGGCGCGGACCTGCACCTGGACCGGGCCGGCCCACACCTGGCGCCTGCTGCTCCGCCCGGAATCTTGGCTTCACGGATTGCGGCACCTGAAAAGTGCAGCTGCAGAGGATACCGGGTCTTTACTCACAGTGAGTTCTCCGAGGAGGGCCTCGCCGACCCGAGCCGCACCCGCTGGAGCGCAGCGCCCCCCCAACCGGCGGGGCGGAGAACTCCAGGCCTGGCGGGAGGAGGGCAACGAGCAAGTGCAAAGTGGCCTCCCCGCCCCCGCTCTGCCGTCTTCGGTGGGGGGTTGGGGGATGGGCTTTGAATCTGTGCTTGGGGAAGAGAGCCGGAAATGTCAGCGAGCTGGTTGAAGAGTTGGGTGTCTGGGGCACTCGCCTCTGTCTTTAGGCCCCTCGTGCAGGCCGGGAGCAACAGAATGCTTTAGGGGGGGGTTCCTGAGCCTGTTCTGAGTTTTCTTGTCTGCGGGGAAGCGCAGCATTGGAGAAGGAAACACACTGGATGGAAAGAAAGCAGCCTGGGCAATGGGGAGTCATTGAAGATGTTTGAGTGAGGGAGTGCCCAGACCTCAGTGGTGGTTGCTTCAGGGGATGTGTAGAGGGGAGGGGCGGCATGGGGGCCAGGGCCTGGCTGTGGCAGGTGTGGGGGAGTTTTAAACTTTCCCTCTACTCTCTGAAGGAGAGATAATTTGAGTCTCTGAAATAAAATGACAGTAGACAGATGACGGGAGAAAAGGCGTACAAATTTATTATGTGCAAACTGGAGCCTCACAACACATAAGCCTGAAGCAGGAAGGGCCAGGGGATGGCAGTTTTTCCAGCATTGGGAAGGGGGTTGGGGTTGGGGGTCGTGGCCTCTGGATAAAAGCTTGTCTTATTACGCATATAAAGTCTCAGGGAATCTCCTGCCGCTCTCTGCTCTCCGGAGAACTGGTGAGGCCCCTGCAGTCTCTGGCCGACCTCTTGTCTCTGCTGACAAGACCGTCCCAGGTCCCTCTCTAAGCAGGTGCGGGGCCTCTGCTAGAATATGGGCTCACTGATGTCGAGTTCCTTTATAGCCACAGAAGTGTTTTCAGGTGGCCTGTCCATGTCTTCGTTTACTATGCAGGTGAAGCTAGGGAACCGCACACACCTCGGGCCCCCATCCCGGTCCTGCGGGAAAGAACTCCCAGTCTGGTGAGACCGAGCCTGCTCTGGCCACTGCTCCAGCAGTCGTCGTCCGAAGCCAGCAGGAAAGGGTGGTGGGTGGGTCAGGGTGCCCTTGGAACTCTTACCGTGGAGAGAGGCAGGTGGCCATGAGCTGTCTGCTCCCTCGTCCTGGGCGCAGTAAGGGGTCCTAGAGGCCAAGTGCCCACCCTGAGTCCCAGCCTTGACCTGGCTTAGCTGAGACCCTCACCCTGGTTTGATGCCGCCCACCACAGAGGCTGTTCTGAGGGCAGAGGGTCAGCGCAAAGCATGGGGGCTTCACCGGTGGCCCCGTGAGCCCTGGGCGTTTCTGTAGTGCTGTAAGAGCTGTCCCTGTGAGCTGGCCTAATCCTCCCCTGCAGGCCAAGCGCCTTGCTCCCGGCAGCCTCCCAGGTCTCACCTGCCTCGAGGCCCCCTCCTCCCCTCGAATTCTCAGCGGATGTGCTGGGGAAGTGACCCACGGCTTTTTGGCAGGGACAGCAGGGACGGTCTCAGACTCTGAGCACGGGGAGGCTCAGAGCCACTCAGAGCTCCAGGGCTGGGGGCGGGGAGTGGGCTGCAGGGGATGGGCATGCAGGTGAGGGAGGAGCTTGGGACAGAGCGGCCACGGGGACTGGCTGCAGGGGACGTGCCGGGTTTTGACTGACCAGGGGACCTTCTGGGCCACTGTAATTTCACTTTCCCAGAAAATGAAACCGAAGCCGGGCCTGGTCACATGACAGCAGGCGAGGTATATAATGGGCTGCCTCAGCCGCCTGCTCTTGCTTCCAGATCTGCAGCAGGGCGGACGCCGCCTCGAGAAGCCCCCAGCGGAGGCATGGAGTGTCCTTCGTGCCGGCACCTCTCCAAAGAGGAAGCCCCCAAGTTCTGCAGCCAGTGCGGAGAGAGACTGCTTCCTCCTGTGGCCCCCATGGCAGGTGAGGTCCCAGGGATGATGGAGACCCAGTGGGGACCCCCGGTGGTGGACAGCCAGCCTGTCCTGCCTCCTTTCCGGGAAGTGGAAGCTGTGGCCAGCAGGCAGCCCAGGCAGGGCCGGGGTCCTCTGTGGCTGAGATTCTGCTGAGAAGCACTTTCTTTAGAACAGTTTTGTCAGGTCCTTTGCTAGAGGTGCCTGTCGCTTTTTTAAACTTTCGGTTTCATTTCCTAGCGAGAACTCGGGGTTCTGCTTGCCCTTGGGAATGGGAAGTGTCTGGCTTAGAGGGTTCAGCGGGTGCCACTGGGGAGTGCGAGGTGTTGACGGGGGTGGTAAGGACTCTGCCTGGGTTTGTTTGTGAGGGACAGTGAGGGGTCCCCACAGCCCACCCAGGCCCCCTCCTGGCTCTGGGAGGCCCATGGAGAGACGAGGGGGAACACGGCGTTAGGTGGGCCCCACCTGCTGACCAGCTCCGGTCCATCCTCAATGTTGTTGGCTTCCAGGGCCTCAGACCGTGGTTCCCTCCCTCTGGGCTATTCTCCCGGTCTCTTTGGTGGCTCATCCAGTCCTGTGGTTTTAAATGCCACCCACATACTGGAAGCCCATTCATCCTTCCACCCTGAACCTCGCACCTGAACGCTGGCCACCCCGTGGCCTGTGCGCTGGGTGAAGCTTCAGCCCTTCCATGTGCAGAGCCCGGCTCCCCTCCGGCTCTGGCTGGTTCTTCCCGCTGTCCCCGCCTGAGCCCCAGCGCTGTCCCGGGGCCCTCTCCTTCCTTCACGGCCCACATTTGCCATCCTTCGGGGGTGACGGCAGGAGGCCCCTGCTGGTCCCTGATTTCCTTCCTGCCCTGCCTCTGACACTGAGCACAGCAGAGTCAAATCATGAACCCCCTCCCCAGAGTCCCTCCCCTACCAGTTTAACTCAGGGCACAAGCTGGAGTCTTTACACGGGCCCGCAGGGTCCTCCTGCCCGCCTCCCCTGCTGGCCCCCAGAGCCCACTGGCCTCTCTGCCCTCCTGTGTGCTTTGACCATACAGCTGCCTCTTCCCCTCTTTCAGTCTTTGCCACACTGCCACCTCTGGTGAGGTCCGCTCTGACCGCCCCATTTAAAGCCACCACCGGCCCTTCCCCCAGACGCCCAGGTGCACCCCCCCACCTGTTCTTTTCTTCTCAGAACCCTTGGGCCACACCAGCCTGTGGCTTCCTAGGGGACCTTTGCTCCTTCAGCACCGCTTCGTCCCAGGTTCCTCGAGCAGTGCCTGGCGCACAGCAGGTGCTCGGTATTTATTTGCTGCGTGCATCAAAGAAGGTTCATGAGACCGCGTGTATTTTCTAAATACGTGCCATGCGGGCGTGTAAGGGCCATACCTGTCAGAACCACAGCTGCCTGCCTGCCTCTGGGGACTCGACGGGGGTGGGTATAAGCCGCCAGTTTCCGCGTCACTCGTTTCTGTGCATGGGCGCAAAGCGCTCTTGTTACAGGTGTTTTCTCTAGGCTGAGAGGTGTGAGTGGCTGCTGCCTGTTGTCTTACTGATTTTCTTTTGCTGCTAAAAGAAAGTTCCTCTTTGAGGAGGAACTTGGCTGACACTCAGATTTGAGACTTTCATCTTTTCTTTCGGAATACCCGGGACTTGATGGGTCGCAGAGCTGCAGATACCTCTGGTAAGTGTCTGAGGGGCCGCTCCTGTTGTCACTTTCTTGCTGTTGAGTTATGTGTCATGGGATGGCTGAGCTTCGGGTCTCCAGAACGCCTGCCTGGGTGGAGGCCTTGGGAGCAGAGGGTCTTTGGAGTCCCAGAGATTACAATAAGAAAACTAGTCTGCCTTAGCCGGGCGTGGTGGCGCCTGTAGTCCCAGCTACTCGGGAGGCCGAGGCAGGAGGATCACTCGAGCCCAGGAGTTTGAGGTTGCTGTGAGCTAGGCTGATGCCACCGCACTCTAGCCTGGGCAACAGAACGAGACCCTGTTTCAAAAATGAATAAATAAATACATACACACATACTCACATAAAACCCAGTCTGCTAACCTGTGATGCGCCCAGCACTGCACTAAGTATCGAGGGAGGAGCTGTCGTAAATTCCCTTTCACAGATGGCTGAGTGTGAAGCACAGAGAGGTTCTGTCACTTGCCCACAGTCACACAGCTGGCAACTGGCAGAGACAGGATGGAACCCTCCAGAGCCTGTGCCCTGGCAGGAGCACGGCTGAGGTTTTGCTGGCCCCTGTGAAGCATGGGAAGGTGGGTGCTGGTGTGGGCTGCTGCCTGCCTGGGCTCGGTCCATGAACAGCTCTAGCCCTCGCCTCTGCGGAGTGTGATTAGGGGAGCAGGAATTAAGGCTGGGCCTCAGCAGCAGAGTTAGCTGCTGTCACAGGGGAGCAGGGCGGCCCCTGACTGTGGCCAGGAAGGGCCGTGCGGGAGAGACAGAGCCCTGAGGGGCTGCGTTTGGTCTCTCACCCTTTGGGAAGATGGACAAGCTCACTCGCATCCGCCGGGAGGGTCTTCCCGAAAGCCTCTTCCCTTCCCCGCCTTCCGTTTTGTGCGAGGGGCTCCGACAGGCCATGAGGGCGACGGACGTGTTCGCGGCAGAGCAGGAAACAGTGAAGGACTATGAGAACGTGGGCGTGTGGCATTTTTACAGAATGCCATTAAGTCTTCTCATACTTGAGCCAGAGCCAGCGGCTGCCTTCCAGGGGCGTCCATCCCGGCGGGCAGGGGAGCGGCGGGGCAGCCGTGCCCTCCTCACGCCCGGTCGGGGGACCTGGCTAGGGCCACTGACGAGGCAGCCGCTCCCACCTTCAGGCACTTGCAGGTTGACCGGGTGGCCCTGGGCTCGGGCATCCCAGACACTGGCTCCGGGTGCAGCAGGAGAGGGGCGCGCAGGCAGCCCAGCCCCCAGAGCCAGGCAGGGCGGGATCTGTGGGGCCAGTAGAGGCCTCAGTGCCATCTGCCCAGAGGCTCCTGGCTGCCTGGTCCTGGAGGTGTCTTAGGTGTCAGTGTGCTTGGATGAAGAGGTACCTAGAGAATTGGTAAAGCATGATTTTTGGATGCGTCTGTGAGCGTGTTTCCAGAGATTATCGCGTGAGTCTAAGTGGACTAGGGGAAGATCTGCCCTCAACGTGGGCAGACACCATCCCGGCATCATTTTTTCTAATTTTGGTAGAGATGGGGTCTTGCTCTTGCTCAAGCTGGTCTCAAACTCCTGAGCTCAAGAGATCCTCCCGCCTCTGCCTCCCAAGTAGCTGGGACTACAGGCATGAGCCACCATGCCCTGCTCATTTTTTCTTTTTGTAGTGATGGGGTCTTACTCTTGCTCAGGCTGGTCTCAAACTCCTGACCTCAAGTGATCCTCTTGCCTTGGCTTCCCAGATTGCTAGGATTACAGGTGCAATCCGCACCCTGCCAGAATTTTGTACGTTAATTTTATATCCTGCAACTTTACTGACTTTATCAGTTCTGAGTTTTTTGGTAGAGTATGTATATTTTTCTATATATAAGGTCATGTTTTTTGCAAACGGGGACAATTTGACTTCCTGCTTTTCAATTTGGTTGCCTTTTTTTTTTCGAGACAGAGTCTCACTCTGTTGCCTGGGCTAGAGTGCCGTGGTGTCAGCCTAGCTCACAGCAACCTGAAACTACTGGGCTCAAGCAATCCTACTGCCTCAGCCTCCCGAGTAGCTGGGACTACAGGCATGTGCCACCATGCCCGGCTGATTTTTTTTATATATTTTTAGTT